ACTTGTACTCGACAAATACTCAATCATTTATGACCAACTTTCTGGCTACATCTGCATTACCTGTTGCTTTTTCAACATTCAACATCATTTAGACAAAGTATACTCACTTTATTTTACTGTTGCTTTTCCAACATTCAACACCATTCTAATAATTTCAAGGGTTCAACAAAATCAATAGTTCACAAGCAAGGGTGTAGTACTACCTGCAGTAATGGCTTTATATATTGTATTAACAATTGGATCTGGTGTGAGTCCTCATAGGACGTAGAAATAATGCATTCAAGCAAAAATTCTTTTCCAGAATAACCCACTAACCTGTCTACAAAATATAGCTCAAGCCATAGTTAAGCAAAAGACCTACCAGAACCCTAAATTTTCAGTATGGTGCAAGGTAACATATTTCTCTTGAATACTTATAGACATAACGTGTAAGACCATTTCTGTTTAGACAAGTCTCTCGTCCCCTCATTGAGACCCTTCAATGTTACTGGACCTAGCATACCAGCACTCCATTGCTCGAAATGTGTGCCTACATTCTGAGAATTTGATGATGGAAAGAGTAAACTGTCATACTTCCGAGTTGTCAGCAGTGTTCAAAGAATAGAGGCCCATCAGAAAATGAGAAAACTGACCTGAAGACCCACAGATGATACTTAACAAAGAAATCTGGTTCTCACCAATTCTCATTTTGACATTTTGACTGAAACTTAATTTTGGATTGTAAATTCCACCATAAACAGTTCCTGAATTAATGATAAAAGCTAAAGTGAGTTGGTGATAAGTGAAGATACACAAGATGTTCATTTGACATTAGTACTCAGCCAACTTATGATAGTGTCTCAATCTTCCTATCACCTGATAGTTGACCATTAATGAAAACATGCAGTGCATGACCTGCAGACCAAATGTTGAGAAGAGGATCTTGTCCATTCTTCAGAAATCCTTCATTAGAGTCTATATTTACACCGAGTGGGACACAGAAAACATATATTGATAAAAATCAGTTTCAGAAAGATTATAAAAACTAATTTTAAAAATAAGAAGTTAAAAGTGTAAAGGAAGCAAAGAGGTGATTAGTCAAAACTAATCACTTTGTCATATACCACAAATAATCCGAAGCATCTCTAGTCACATTTAATTGTTCCCACAGCCCATCAGTGGTAAAAGTTTTATCATCACTAGAAGAGGCACTTTCTTCAATGTATGACTGCCAAGAAAATTTGCTGACAGTTGTCATCTGTTTCACGGAGCTTTGGGAACCAAGCTGTTACAAATTCACCCTTGAAAATTTTCTCACACTGACTCTACATAAAAAGCTCAGGTTTTTTTCGTAGCAAAATCGCTTCTTGAATTTCTAGCATGAGCGATTTGTTATGTCTTTACTATATTGAACTTCAGTATGTTTTATGAAGTTTCTTCCATAATAGAATGTAGATTTCATGCGAAAACTAATTGAAACATAGAAAAAGTATTGCAAGTGTTAAGTAGATGTTAAGAAACAGGCACTAATTGCAAGATGTTGAATAGTCTTCCCCTTACCCGAGCAGTGTTGTAAACTGCAGTTTTGCAGTCAGGGAGGATGCTGATGGACCAAGTTGGCAGTTCATATTTCATATTTAGAAAGTTCACTTTTACCGAGTATGTTGTGTCATAGTTAGCAAGGAATGCCGCACAAGATCCAGATTTTGGGTTAAATACTTGAGCCTGTAGATAATTATAATGATTAGAAGCTCTATTCTCAAAGATGGATGACAAAATATGGAATGCACAAATTCCTTGATTCATGCTGGTTGTGATCAAGGAGCAATTCTCTCATTCAATCAATCCATAATTTATGTGATTGATTGAATAATTACATTTAATTGTATTCATTGTTTTCCATTTTTACAATTACAAAAGGTGTATAAATTAGCACTGTATAGATAAATACATAATAAGAAATACAGAAATCTTTTCCTCTTTTCTCTTCTCTCAGCATACTTTGGCAGTATCAACATCCTGAACTGCTACTCTTTGCCTCTTCATATCAATTCCTACCATGGTATCAGAGCCATAATCTTCACGCTTCCGCACAAACAAGCCTCTCCTTTCTGTTCCTGCAATCAAACAAAAAACTCGTTTTAGTATCTTGTTTTTTTTCTGCAAATGGCAGATAATCCAAACCCAACTCAAACTCAATCAACTGCAGCAAACCAAACAAATGCAAATCCCATTTCCACCGGCCCAGACCCAACCCAAACCAGTTCACTCCCAACCAATTCAATCCCAATTGGCCCAAACACACAAACCAGGCCTGACCCAGCTTGTTACCCATATGGAATGTCGGGTTATGACCCGGATTCTTTTACCCGCACCGACCCAACTCCTCTTGGAATACCGGGTCACAACCCGGAATCTGGTTCACAAACGGGTACGGATCCAAATCCCTACCCGTATCCATTTCGCTTCATCCCAGCCAATAGCAACGGTCACCCTGAACCAGGCGATGTTCTATTTTCGCCGGTTTCCGATGGACCAAAATTGGTCCTCATCAAACAAACCCTTATGGGTTCAGACAACTACGCATCCTAGGCTCGCGATTTCCGGCGAGCTCTCATCGCAAAAGACAAAGAGCTTTTCCTAGACAAAAACTTCCAACCACCACCACAGCCACACCTCCAACGCCACTGGAACCGCTGCAACACACTGGTCCGCTCATGGATCAGTAATTGCATCTCTACAGACGTTTCGGCCGGACTCCCACCAACAGAGATGGCCGCCGATATATGGGCATACATCAAAGAAATGTATGGGAAACTCGATCTCGCAAAAACGTATACCCTCCGGCAGCGATTGATCGAACTCAAACAAGGAAACGCTTCGATGACCACTTATTTCAATCGGCTCTCTGCCGTTTGGAACGAGTTGGACACTGCTGAGGAATCTCTTGAAGGGCCGCCGGAAACCCTCCACCAGTACCAACGGATCCGCGATCGCGATCATCTGTCACATTTTTTGCTCGGGTTGAACGAAAGCTTTTATGCTTTTCGCACCCAAGTTCTGGCCACTTCCCACCACCTTCCCTTCGCCGGAGTTTTCAACTGGCGGTGCAGGATAAGAGCCAACGCTAGTTGAACTCCGATCGGCCATCCACTAACTCTCTGGTTTTTGCAGGGCTTAAGGAAAACAACGATGGGCGCTCGCGGGTAGGGCAACCTGCAAAGGAAAAGGGCACGAATTTATATGCAAAGATGAAAGGCCCAGATTTCATCTCTGCATCTAACGATCAGAAGCTGGTTGCGTTTTTAAACGCATCTAATGTCTCAAATCGAGCCACGTCACACTCAGAGTCAAACAGGCTAACCAACTAGTCAACTGGGCCCAAGCCTTGGTCAAACGGATCGAGAAACGGGTCCAATGGGTCTGACAATTCACGCTTTAATCGGGGGCGATTATATTGTGACTATTGCAAACGGACCAATCATGATCGAGACCATTGCTCGAAATTACATGGACGCCCTAAAGACAAAAATAACAATTCTTCTTCTTTTCAGGTTGATTCAGTTTCTTCCAGCAATCCGCAAGCACCTGTTCTCACTTCGGATCAATATAATCAATTGCTTCAGCTTCTAAATAATGCTCCCATCGCACCTACAGCGTCCTATACAGGTACTTCCTACTGTTTCAATTTAGTTACTACTGACATGTGGATTATTCATTCAGGGGCTAGTGATCACATCATTTGTAATCCAAAATTTTTCCACTCCGTTTGCACTACCTCATCCACATCTGTTCGCATGCTGAACGAAAACATAACCCCAGCCACTCACATAGGCACTGTCCAATTATCCGAAAATTTATTCCTTAAAAATGTTCTATGTGTCCCTACCTTTTATTTTAACCTCATATCAGTATCAAAACTATGTGAAGACAATACTTGCACTGTAAAATTTTGTCCTAACACATGTGAATTTCAGAACCCTTCGACTGGGAAACTGATGGGCTTGGGTAAGGTTCATAGAGGTCTATACTATTGGGCACCAGCAAAGTCTTCTAGATTTTTTCATCCGTGTATCACACCCAATAAAATTACCAATTGTAATGCAACAATTAATAAAAACTCTTTTATTCTCCATCAAATGTTAGGTCATGGCGTTACTATTCCCCAACCTCACTGTCCCATCTGTCCGTTAGCTAAACAAGCCCGAATTACTTTTCCACATAGCACTTCTACTACGACACAACCTTTTGCCCTAATCCATCTTGATATTTGGGGACCTTATCACACTCCAAATCATGATGGCTCCCTTTTTTTTCTCACCATTGTTGATGACTTTTCCCGGGGTACATGGACTTTTCTTATGCAATCCAAAGCTCAAACACTTACCCACATCACACACTTTCTAGCCATGGTCAACACACAATTTCATACTTCTGTCCAAAGGATTAGAACAGACAATGCTAGAGAATTCTTTAATCATAATTGTTCATCCCTTTTTTCATCACTCGGGATACTGCATGAAAGCTCTTGCACCTATACACCCCAACAAAATGGGGTTGTCAAACGAAAACACCGTCATCTCCTAGAAGTCGCCCGTGCCCTCAAATACCAAGCTCACCTACCTATCTCTTTTTGGGGCGAATGTGTGATCACTGCTACCTACCTGATCAACCGCATGCCCAGTAGAGTCCTTCTTGGGAAGACCTCTTATGAGGTATTATTCCAGAAGCAACCATCTCTTGATCATCTTCGAGTATTTGGCTGTCTTTGTTATGCTGCCACTCTTGGATCACATGATAAGTTTGGTACTCGGGCTACCTATTGTGTTTTTATGGGATATCCTACGCTTCAGAAAGGATACAGGCTATATGATCCAGTTACAAACAAGTTTTTGATCTCCCGAGATGTTGTATTTCATGAAGATATTTTTTCATTTGCCACAGAAGACACTGTTCCATCATTATGACCATCACCTCTAGTGTTCCCTGACAATGATGCCCTTTAAGATCCTCTGTTCACTATGGTTCCTAATCCACCAGTTCTTCAGCCTAGTACTCCTACTATTGACCCTGACACAACCAACACTGATAACACTACAACAGACCCACCGGATAAACCCCTTATTCCTCCACCCAGCTCTCCTCTTCAGGCTCCTACTGTTCTTGTCCACCGCAGCACTCGTCAGCCCAAACCACCAATCTGGGTTGCAGATTATGAGTGTCCCACCATTTCAGATCCTTCAACTCCATTGTATCCCACCTCAAACTATGTGACTTATGATCGTCTCTCTCCTATATATAGAGCTTGCATCAGTAACATCTCCGCAGAAAGAGAACCCACTAGTTACTCAGAGGTTGTTCAACACTCTCACTAGCGTCAAGCCATGGCTGCTGAGCTTACTGTTCTCTCTCAGAATCATACTTGGGATCTCGTGCCTCGTCCCTCCCATAGAAAACCTATTGGTTGTAAATGGGTCTACAAAATCAAGTATCATGCTGATGGCTCCATAGAATGGTACAAAACTTGCTTAGTGGCCAAGGGATACACTCAGCGGGAAGGTTTTGATTATCAGGACACTTTTTCCCTAGTAGCCAAACATGTCACTGTTCGTACTTTTCTTACAGTAGCTTCTGTCCGTGATTGGCTTCTCCATCAAATGGACGTTCATAATGTCTTTCTTCATGGGGATCTTCATGAAGAAATATACATGGATCTTCCACCGGGATTACGTAGACAGGGGGAGAACACAGTATGTCATCTGCAGAAATCCCTATATGGGCTAAAACAAGCATCCCGACAATGGAATGAGAAATTCAGTAAAGCTCTCACTGGCATAGGATTTGTTCAGTCCAAACATGACTATGCATTATTCACTTGGAACAAAGGTAAAACTTTTATTGCTCTCATCATATATGTTGATGACATTCTTATTACAGGGAATGATGAAACATGTATCAAATCCTTAAAGGAGCATCTTAACAGACAATTCCAAATAAAGGATTTAGGAGAGCCAAAGTATTTCCTAGGCATTGAAATTGCAAGATCCCCAGTAGGAATATCCCTTAGCCAACGGAAATATGTCTTGGAACTTATCTCTGATTCAGGACTATCAGGATGCAAGCCAAGTGTCATTCCAGTAGAACAAAATACAAAGCTGACTACTCAAGAATATGACAGTGGGATATCATCTTCCGAAAATGATCCACCACTGGAAGATCCTACAAAGTATCAAAGACTTGTTGGGCGATTGATCTATCTCACCATGACTCATCTAGACATTAGTTATGCAGTCCACATTCTTAGCCAGTTCATGCATGGACCCAAACAATCTCATATGGAAGCAGCAATAAAGGTTCTAAAGTACTTGAAAGGATGTCCTGGATTAGGACTCCTTCTTCCCCGAGACAAAGAATTAGTTGTCACAGCTCATTGTGACTCAGACTGGGCCATATGTTCAATGACAAGAAAGTCACTTACAGGGTTTTGTATCAAGTTAGGGGGAGCTCTTATTTCTTGGAAGACCAAGAAACAATCAACAGTATCTCTATCTTCAGCAGAAGCCGAATACAGAGCCATGGCCAAAACAACATGTGAGATCATCTGGATTTTGGGGTTATTGGAAGATCTAAAGGTACAAGTAAGAAAGCCTGTCCTTTTATGCTGCGATAACAAAGCTGCAAATGACATAGCAGCAAATACAGTATTCCATGAAAGGACAAAACATATAGAGATTGATTGCCACTTTGTCAGAAACAAGATACAAGAAGGGGTAATCAAGACTTTGCACATTCGTACTTCAGAACAACCAGCAGACATTTTCACAAAGCCATTGTGCAGCAGACAGCATTCATATTTACTTAGCAAGCTTAGAGTTTTTGACATTTACAAACCACAAGCTTGAGGGGGAGTGACGAAATATGGAGTGCACAAATTCCTTGATTCATGCTGGTTGTGATCAAGGAGCAATTCTCTCATTCAATCAATCCATAATTTATGTGATTGATTGAATAATTACATTTAATTGTATTCATTGTTTTCCATTTTTACAATTACAAAAGGTGTATAAATTAGCACTGTATAGATAAATACATAATAAGAAATACAGAAATCTTTTCCTCTTTTCTCTTCTCTCAGCATACTTTGACAGTATCAACATCCTGAACTGCTACTCTTTGCCTCTTCATATCAATTCCTAACAATGGAACCCAAGGCTTAAGTCTGGTTTTCTCCTACTTTGCTCAAAGGCTTACCTCTTGATTTTCTTCGAGTGAAGTCACTGTGGATCTTGTTTTCAGAAGTTCTAAATACTATGAATTGTTAAATTTGTTTTTACAAACAAAAAGAAAATGAAAATTAACAGTTAACTTACATGTTCATTTGGTTAAATGATTATAAATAATATTTTGAGTATATAATCTTATAAATATAAATACCAAATTAAATTAAAATGTTTAACTTATTTTAACATGAAAAGTATATACTTGAAATAAATAAATAAAATGTTGGTGTTTAGTTGACATAAAAAATTCCCCTTAACAAATGGACCTGCCCATTTTTTATGGATTGGCAAAAGGCCGGTAGTGATTGGAAGCTGGACTTTTGCGGGCTTAATCTGGGCTCTCTCCTAATCGGAACTTCCGTATGCTAAATATTTTATAACTTGTGTTATTTATGCTGAAAACATAATTTTAGGTATTCAAAATAAGAAATAATAATTAAAAAAAAAGGCGTCACAAATAATGAACTCAAATTAGGAGATTGAAGACTTCTTACGTCAAAATGAGCAAAAAGGAGAGGAACATTTATTAGCTTAGGAAATGAGATCTTTTATTTTTTGACGCTCTTGTTACAAAATTTCTTTTCTAATTCAACCACCAAAAGTAAAAGGAATAAATCTTCAATAATACAACTTTATATTGTCAACATCAAATCTTTCATATGATTAAAAACAGTTTCTTAAAAGTGATTATATGTAAAATCACATCTTTATTACGTTGACTTTTTATATCAACTTAATGTTTACGCATATAATTACTTCTAACTTTTATTGAAGTGATTGTTAGATGCTTTTTCTAAAACTTTTCAATAATTTTGCTTTAAATTAAAGCATTCCTTGTTGAAAAATAAATTTCTTAGCTAATTAAAATTATAGACAGATTTTATGTCTAAGAAAATATGCCAAAATGTTCCCTTTATAAAAAGGCAATATATATATATCATTTTGGACCATTCAATTGAGAAGAAACTTAGATTCGAATAAATCCAATTTGGATTTGTTCATAAATTTTCATTTAATGTTCTTTTTATTAAAGGTGCCCATAGAAAGCAACATTTTTATTTTCTATTTATTCCTTTCGTATTAATTTGTTTGTCTTTTCAGCCACCCACTCCACATTTTTTTGTTCCTTTTTATTTTATTATTATTATGTGATCTAAATTAATCTAGAAAAAAATTGGTATATACTGGGGGTAGTTGAGCCTTTAAACTTCCCTTTTTGTCATCTTCTAGATTATCTCTAGAAAAAAAATATATATATATTCACATCGTAAATTATTTGTTTCAAAATAATTAGGTTTAAATGCACTGAAAATAATTAAAATCACAAAATTTAAAGGAAATTAATTAGGAGANATAAAAATTAACAAAAAACACTCCCACAATGAAATTTTTAAAATTAACAAAAACACCCCCACAATAAAACTTTAAAAATTAACAAAAACACCCCCAAAAATGAAGTTGTCAACGACGATCAAATATGGCCGTCGTCAACAGCCAAAATCTAGTAGCCATCAACGGCCAAAACTTGGCTGTTGTCAATGGTAATCTAGTCGTCGACAATAGCCAAAATCTGGCCGCCGTCAACGGCCAAATATTTGGCCGAAAACAACAAAATCAACGCACAACCAGCCTGATCCGACTGATTATGCGTCGTTTCGATGCCAACGCCCAATGGTGGTTGCTAGTTGTGGTGCTTTAGCAATTTTTAAACTTTTATTGTGAAAGGTGTTTATCTAAATTAACAAATATAGGGGGTTAAAAAATCTAAATGTTTTGAATTGAATAGAATAAGATAATAGAAAACAAAGTTCCCACTCTTTTCATTTTCAATAGAAAAAATCTTATTTTATTTGAATTAATTTTAAGAATAATGATCCCAATAAGCAAACAAACATATATTCTGCTTTTTAACCTAAATAGAATAACAGAAAAATGATTCAAAATAGTGAAACAAAGGAATAGTTTTTGAAAAGCCGGTATATATAACATTGTTTTAAAAACCAGACCGGAGGGCAACCCGCACTGATGACCAGGTCACGGTTCAACCGGTCCAACCAGTTAGATTGGTGATGTCATCACACATTATGATGATGTCAACACATTTTTAAAAAAACTTTTTTTTTTAGATTTCTATTTTGTAATAAGACAATAGCAACTTAATTACTGTCCAATCCAACATGATTCAAAGTTCAAATTCAACAACAATTCAAAGTCCAAATCCAAACATAATGTTGTATTTACATATTAAATGTCAAAATACATACTAATTAATAACAAAACATTTGATGCAAGTGTTTTTTCTTTGATCCGTCTCCATGTTGATTGAGCTTCACACACTAGCATCAAAATTTATCACCATCATCATCATCATAACCATCACCACCATCTATGCATGTTGACAGACAAGTATCCACAGGCAAAATTTGTAATCCAAAAATGTAAAGGTCAAACAACAAAACTCATAATGAACAAACCAGTTGTAAGTTTCAAAAGTACTTTATGACTTAACTGGTATCACCTTATAAGCAAGCTTATTCCATTTTAGCTGTTCAAGATGGATACAGTTGGGAGTGAATGCTTTACTTTCTACATCATAAATTATTTTCAAATATTCAATTAACAACTAAATGCAACCCCAACATTATGAAATCAGTCTCATATTTAACAATATATAGATTATAATAATAATAAAAAAAACAATTAAGCCCCGTAACGGCACCTAACTAAGCGGAAGTTGAGCGTTGACTTAATCAGAAAGCTAAAAATCAATCTTTAACACTAATACCACAAATTAACAATCATACTTTCCAAAAAGAGAAAAACAAAAACAATTAGACTATACATAATATACGCATCAGTAAAACCAATGGTCATTCTCAGTTCTACAATCAAACAATGAAAACACAAACAAACCCTAGTCGTCTTGCATGCTTTACTAGAAGGATGAAATAAAAACCGCAGAGCAATATACATATATAGTAACATCCCTACACATATAACACAAAATGCCATTTGAATGTGTTAAAATAAATATTCCAGATATCAGTTGACAAATAATGCTACACTCATTTGATACCACATTATGTATTAATCATCAGAGGCATATATGATGCATAAAAATCAAAAGGATGAAGTACATGGTCCATAGACTGCTCGTTTGTTCACAGATCCTATATAGGACCTTCTGAATATTTGTAGGATGACATTGCTACAAAAATGAAATTGAAATTATTGATTATTGAAGCTGGATCGAAGAATGGCGTGTTTATTACCTGGATCGAAGAATGGAGCTGTCGCCGTCGATTTCCAGCGAGGAACGGAGCTGTCGTCGTCAATTTTCGGCGAGGGAGGAAGACATTGTCGTCGATTTTAGAGAGTTCAGATGCGATTTGGGTGGGATTTAAGAGAGAAGTCTTCGCAGAGAACAGACAACAAAGACGAAGCTGAAAAATTTTTGCAGAGAAGAGAGAAGAAGCTGAGAAATTTGTGTAAGAAACTGAGAAAGAGATGAACTGAACGCGATGAGAAGAAGGCTGCGCGTATTAGGTTTAGGGATTTTTAATTGGACCGGTTTATCAGTCGGTTCAGTTGGACCGGAGGTTCGCTGAAAATATCCGATTTTTTAACGGTTTAACACGATCCATTGCATTATAACAGTTTTAGGGTTGACTCGAACCGAACACGTGACCGGTTCCCGGTCAAGTCCGGCTTTTAAAACAATGATATAAAACTCTATTGTAAAATGAAGGCTTGTAATACTTTTTTAGATTTATCTGCTTGGACGTCTTAATTTGTTCATCTTTTAATTTGCATTACTCGACAGCATTTTTACACTTCCACAAGTTTATGATTCATCTCTCTTTATTTTCCCATTGTAATCGCAAATAAATTTCCAACTTCAATAACATACTCTAGATTTCAATCTACTTTAATTTGCTTAAAGTCTCCAAAGATGGTAAATAAAATAATAATTATTGATGTTTATAGCTATATGCTTAATGTAATTATCTACTTTAGGAAAAAGCAATTTCAGAGCTTTAAATTGCTAATAAATTAGTAAAAAAAACTTAAGCAAATATCAATGTAATAAAAATAAGCATTTGCCATAGAATCATCTTTTAAACAGAATCAGTATGAGCTTCACCTGTCATGTACAGACCTCGAAGAATCTCGATCAGTAAACTTACTCTTTAGTTTTTAGAGATACCAGCCTGGATGGTGTTTTGAACATTTTTGGATCTTCACTTCATGATTATGAGTTATGACTCCTTAAAAACACACACAAGCTTTAAAGGCTTCGAGACTTACTAACAAAATGTCTAAGATCTTAATCTACAAATAAAAAGCATGGCAGTTTATCATCCATGATCAGCGAAAATTGCAGTATGAAATCCTAATTGTGCTAAGAGCAATGAAATATGTTGCTATCCATTCACTTTCCAAAATGACAATATACCCTGTGAGCAGGGACTGTCAGCATAACAATCTCTAGAAAAGGAAAAGAATATAAAAATTTTGGGTCCTTGACTTGAAAAAACTCCAAAAAACAGTATCTGATGCTGCATTGACAGTGGTAACCCCAAGTTCTTGGGCATGCCCGAAAGAACAATCCCAACAGTGGAAAATAGCTTCTCTGGTGTACCTAACCTGTTTTTGCTTTCGGAGTCTTCTTCTTGAGTTGCCTCCTAGGAATTAAGTTCTTCATTCCTATGAAGAAAAGCAATGCACCAAAAAGTGCAATGTTCTGCCAGAAATACAAAAAATGAATTTAACATTCCAAAAAGTTGAATGCACAGAGATGCTGAAAAACACCATAAATTTGAATTTCATACAAACCTGCAAGAATTCATTTAAGAGAGGAACAAATTCAGGGTCCATCGGACCATAGTTGTAGAAATCAAACAGAAGTGGGGTGATAAGCACCAAGTGGACAAGCTGCAAAAATAGGGGACATTAGAGTTTGTTGACTGTTGGAAACAGCAGTAGTTACAAGGTGAAGTTCAGTTGTAACTTCATGTTCGGAGGTAATTAATTAGTGAACCAAAAGGAAGAAAATTCTCACCAGGAGAAAAGCTCCAAAGGTGTTGCCAATTACAAATAAAATACCTCCAATTCCTTTCAGAAAGATAGTAGTTGCAACAATATGTCTAACCTGTAAAAAATTACTTCTGAATCAGTTAAGCAAATTAACACAAAACAAGATGACATCAAGATCTAACTGGTCCTGCAGATTTAGAAAACCAGAAAAGTTGAATGTCAAAAAAATAAAAATTTGAAATTTAAAAAAAAAATGGGAGGAAAAATACTTACTTCTATATCAGGTATTCCTAACCCTAATGTTGAGGATAGGTGCTTCCTAGCAACGGCAAGTTTGGGTATCAACTCCTTTGCCGCAGGCCCACCATCAACCCCAAAATCATTAAACCTAAAACATGAGCATTTGTTGTAAGTTTTGAAAACGCAACATTAATATAGTGTACCCATCTCAGTAAGAAAGCTGTGCAAGAGTAAATCAACTGGAGATTGGCTTATCAAATGGAAACACCATTATATACTTGTACCACCCAACATTCATGTCAACAAGAAAAAAAAAGGGGAAAACCAAAAGTCCTCAAGCAAGGCAAAGTGTCATGCAATTTGAGACAAAAAATAGCATTATTTTCTTCTTTAAATTAAAGAATGTAAATCTACAGTTTTGCAGATAAAAAAAGTTAAATAAAAAATTTAGAAAATCAGAGAAGATTATCAAAGGGAATGTTTAAAAATAATAATAACCTCATCTATATCAGTAACTGGAATAAATTCCATATTCAGAGATCCATTACATGAAAATTCTGTCATTTTACAATCATTTTAAATCTAAAATCTTCCCATAATTCTATTGAATATGGAATAGATGGATCTCAAAAGACGATTCCCAACTAGAGCATTACAATCAAGGCAACAATCCAAAAAGCCAACTACAGTTGGATCATTATTCTTATTCTTCAAAAATGCTAATTGTCGAAAATTGCATACTTCAAACAATGAAGCAGGACTTTATCAGCTAAAAATTGTTGAATGGTACAAAGACAGCCCTAGTCAGAGGAATTTAGCCAACAAGAGCAACGTCCAAAGTTATATTGCAACAAGGTTGTAAGATATATATCATACCAATTCCATTTCCACTAGCCATGAAAGAATGTATTCCACATACAACTATTGATAACCAGCAACTATTACACGTGATATGCATTATAATAACACACAATTTCTCAGGATTCCTTTCACATTAAAGCTAAAGGAAGTGGATTCATCCATCAAGAAACTAATAAAATAATTCGGATAACTTTCCAAGTTCCAGCTTCACTACCTTGATAAGTAAATCTCAACCACCTTAACGTTAAAACGCACGGTTTCATAACAGTCACCGACCGTTAATTCCAAATATTTTACCAGTTTCACAATCACCGAGAACTTATGTAAATATTCAAATTATATCACAAAAATTAACAATTACCTCCCATATTTTATTTTTTTACCATCGCTAACTTAAACACTTCAATACTTCACCCAAAAAATTAAAAAAAAAAATTGTTTCACTGAATTTAAAATTCTCAGCAAGCACAACCCGCCAATCAAACAAAGGATTAATCAACACAAAAACAAATATCACAAAATCATATAACAAGACCAAACACTTAGCAGATCTAACATATTAAAACAATTAGAAAACGATTGCGAATTAAAAACATTACAAGTAGTTCATACTTGAGTAGATCTAAATAAAGAAAAGCACAAGAGAGAGAGAGAGAGAGAGCTTACATTTGCCAGGCGGAGAGAATGAAGAGAGAAGCGAAAAGGACTCGTCCGAGGAACGAAAAGAAACCCATTTGCGTCGTTTTTCACGGCAGAAAGTAAAGAGTGAATCTCGGGTCGGGTTTCTTTGTTCTCCTCGAAAGAGAGAACTGAGAAGTCAAGATTTAAATGGAGTTTCTTGTTTCCGGTTAAGTGTTCGGGGTTGGGTAGGGGATGTCTTAAATCGGTCATTTAATATAAAATATTACAGTCTTAAAGAGACGAGAGAGAACATAACTAGTTTAGATGGACACGCAATTAGCTGATAGTTTTTAAGGATATTCTTATTGCTGTGAACTTATTATTAGGTTTAGATTATTCTTTTTCTGTAACGCTGACGCATACAAATATATGAAGTGATTTAGTCAACCCCAGTATATTTCATGAAAAAACAAAGAGCACCCAATAGGATGAGTTTTGGGAAAACAAATATACTGGGGTCTGTTTGGTTCATTCTTCTATAATTTTTAGAATAGTTTTTAAAAAAAATTAAATTAGACGTGTATTACGATGTAGAATTTAAAAATTAATAAAAATATCCCTTATGTTTATTTATTTACTAAATATCCCTATAATAAAATATTAAAAATTAACAAAAATACCCCTAATCCATCCATTAAATACGAACAGCCGGCCATCATTGCCAGAGAGTGGCCAGAGTGTTTTTGCAATTTCTAAAAAAAATATTTAGGGGTGTTTAGTTAAATTAATAAATTTAGGAGGTTTAAAAGAAATTGAAAAATGTAGAATAATATTTTGGAAATAATGATATTTTACTGTTTAACTTTTTTAGAATACTAATAATAGTATTTCGAAAAACGAACCAAACGACTTTCAATAGTTTTAAAGCATGATAAAACACAACTTCAACAGTAATTTATTTAATTTAACTTGCATTTTCCTTTATTTTATTATCATATAATTAGAGTTTTTTTACTTGTTATATATAACTTGTAAAAATGCTTAATATATAATTATAAGTAGAGTGATATTTTATTTAGAGTGAATAGTACAAATGCATATACAACTTACCTAAAGGTGACACGTTTTAAAGTTATTGGAAAATGGTCTGTATTATACTTATATATCACATTTGTAAGTCATTATAATGAACTAATAATCATTAACAATATTTTTTTAAAAATTATCATAGTTTATTTTCATAATAAAACTCTTATTAATAATCAAATGCTATTGAATACATTCCTAAGTTTGCTTCTAAGGTTGATAACATTATTATATATATATTAGCTATCATGTTTTAGTCTAATAATTAGTTGTCACGAACTTTGAATTCTACAAATATATTCTGTTGAACGAATCTTAAAATAAAGAAAATTAAATTAAAGATGTATGTGCATATGTCACTACTTGATTGATTAGGTTTTTAACAACTCTACTTAATTATGTGTTAAAATTAAATTTAAAGACCCTTTGGATTTCCAAAACAACCATTGATAGACAATTTATTCAGATAAAATTTATTATGAAAAATAAAGACAGAGGTTATTTGGAGTTAACTACTTTTTCGACACAAGGTTTGCCTTAATGACACATTTTTACCCAAAAAATTTTTAAAATACTACTTTTCTACTCAAAGTTAATATTCTGTTACTATCCAAAGCCAATTCCGACGATGCAAATTCTCTCTGTCATCACCATTTGAACTTCCAGTCTCCTCTCTACAAAACCTTTTTCACTTCGGTACCTGATTTCTTACTGATTGTCAACCACTACAAAGTTAGGGTTTCTTGTTTTTAACTGATTTCTAGCTGGTTCCAGCCTGGCAGCCTCTACTCTTACCCTAGCTCTTGGTAACTCACTGAATACCGGCTGAGAAAGTGAAATGTAGTTTGAATATTAACAGAATATAAACTATGGGTGGAAAAGTGGTATTTTTAAACTTTCTAGGTGAGAGATACCATTAAGGCAAACCTTGGGTAGGAAAATGTCGTTTACTCGGTTATTTAATCGACATAAAGCAGGCGATTTAGTCAGACCATTGCAAATATTGACTTATTCAATTGCTCATTAATAAATAAATAAATACGTAAATTATTGTTGAGCAGCATCTCATTGATCTGCTTTAATGTTTGTGTTATGCTATGCAGATTTATGTGAGTTGTTGTCTTCACGTGATACCGCATCAATTTATCAACAAATGAGCTGTTATACCTCTCTGGCTCTCTCACCATTTTTGTTTATATTGATATAAATTACACGCCTTTTCTAGTCCCAACCTTTCAAAAAGTAACAGTTTAGTCCTATTACTTGAATTAAGTTGAAGGTTGGAGTTTAGAAAGACACATATATCCCCACAATGCCTTGTATATATATATGAATGAATAGATTTATGATAAGAATATTATTTGATTTATCGTTGTTGATACAAAAACTCGTATCAATCAGTATGATCCAATTAACCTTGGTAGAATTGGAACAAGTGTGTGCGTGACTTAATGTAAATCAGCGATGATAATGTAAAAGTGCGGTAAAGTAAAGAACACAAACAATTTTTAAAGTGGTTCGGTAAGTTTCAGACTCAAGCCTACGTCCACTGTTTTCTTATTTGCTTTAGAGAGCTTACAAATAATGTAAATTGCCTAAAAATATTTGCTAACCCCACTCTCATAGTTTGGGGGGGTATTTATACAAGTTTTGATAAAAAGAAAGAGAGATAAATTTGGGATTGCGATTAGACTTGATATGCAATCCCGTGATCTTCGTGATTGAGCGTTGAGATTGCGTTGCCAACAGTGTTTATCTTATTCCTTCCGAAATATCCGAGATTGAAGCTTATCTTTAATTATGTCGAACAGATGTTAGACTTGGTCACTGTGACGAGCTTCAACTAGATCGAGCTTACTTTGAATCATACTAATTCTGGGTCGACTTGATTCAGAGTCAAATTACCTCTTTGCGAGCTTCAGAGATCTGAGAGCTTTCTAGCAAAATGTAATGAAAAATGTGATAAAGTATTCTAAGGTGTTGATACCAAAACTCGTACCAACCAGAGAGATCCGATTGATATTGACGGAATCGAAACCGATGTGTGTATGATTTAATGTAAATCAGCAATGTAATAAAAAATGGAATAAAGTAAAGAACACAAACAATTTTTAAAGTGGTTCGGCAAGTTAAAACTTAAGCCTACGTCTACTATTCTTTTATTGTTTTAGAGAGCTTACGAGAAAAATAAATAGAATGCCTATAACAAATTACTAACCCACCCCATAAAACAAGTTTTGATGGGGTTTATATAACACCCATTTACATGATATACTTGAAGTAAGATTCAAATATGTAAGATTATGAAGTTGCATGATCTTCAACCACTTTAGTTGGAATCTAAGTCAATCTAAATATTTTCCTTTCAAACTGAGCCAATATAAATATCTTCTCTCATAATAGGGAATTATCCTCTATGGATTCCCTGCACAATATATATATATTCAAACCATTGTTAGTTNGATTTCTTCAAACTTACAAGGGGCTTTTGCAGATTCAACACATGGTCTCCATCCTTGATCAGCCAAAGGAACCCAAAGATCAGATTGCTTTCCAGTTGCCTGAAAGAGATGCACAAAGGGAACCAAAGAAGGGATTTTTTCAAGTGAAAACATAAAATTATGAGGAAAAAATAGACGCCACTTGAAAGACTTTGACTTACATATTCACGCTGCAAAGCACTCTTGAACAAAGGTAAGTGCCTTGGCTTTGGAGCATTTGGATCCTGCACAATAATACCTTTTCACTAAAGCAGTACAACTACCCAGAAACAGTAAACTTCATAGATATGGTACCAAACCAACATAGAATAGTTACAGGCACGTTCTGATGTACATGAATATGTGCATTATTTTGAAAAGCACATGCCACATCAGAGAGCACAGAAGTGGCATACAGACCAATTGGAAGGTGAATATTACTTCATTGTATTGAACAACCCAACAATAAAACGCATTAGCTTGGTAAGTTCTGTACATCCATATGCTTTCCAGGAATTACAAAGTGAAATGTTTTGTGATGCATATGTTCAGAGCAAAAATACTACCCCAAATAACTTTGCCGTCTCTTGCACCCATGGAGCAAGGGTCCACCTCCACTCTAACTCACTTATATGCAGAGACTTCCAGATGTCATTTGGGTTTGTGCAGGAAAACTAGCTTCCAAGATGATACAATCTTGAGTGCCATCGTTACCATCATACAAGTTATCTTTGTCCATGTTTTATAGCTGTCTCATGCATACTGACTTATTCATGAACAACACTCCTATACTAGTATAGCATGAAGAAATCAATCAGATGGAAACATATGATTGCATCGTTACTAAACAACACTCCTAGACACATCTGCTCAGTAGACTGCCACTCACTTTTTGCAGCTGCAAAGCACTCTTGAGTAGAGGTAAGTGCCTAGGTTTTGGAGCATTCCATTCCTGCATAAAACAACCAATTTATCAAATAAAGTAGCATGACTTTGGATATCAGAGAGTAATAAATGGAAATGTGCATATCGTTATACATGAAATGAGCAATCATTGTTCCACAACATATTTATCTTATTAAATACAAATGTACACAAGTTCTCCAAGGAAGAAAAAGCTAAATAATTTCTGATTCTAATGCTAAGCACAAAAACAAGAACCACATTATCGTCTTTTTCCTGACACGGATCTTTTTCAAGGAACTTTCAAATGTAAATTAAATTTTTTCTAGGAAAACAGCTTGCAGGATTTATGGTGTTGGGTCATTATCGTTTTGATGCAAGGATTAAAGATAAACAAATTGAGATGTCAATGCTCAGAGCAAAGATACCTCCCAAAATGACTTTATTCTCTTTTATAACCATTGGAGCAAGGATCCAATTTAACTTGAGTCTTATTCAGGGTGTTCCAGATGTAAGTCATGCTTCTTGTGGGGAAAATAGCTTCCAAGGTATTTTGTCGGCACTTCATAGCCTTCTTAGTTAATTGTTGCTAGACTTATTTGATATATTAAAAAAAAAAAAAAAAAAAAAACCATTCCAAACCACAGTTAGCATAACCATTTAAGATCACTGCAATAGCAGTCATTCAACCATTCTACCAAGTTTCCCTCTTTAGGTATCTATCTCATCTTTTCCTGCCTTCTAATTTCCAGGAGAACATAAGAACACGAAAGATCTTGTATGATCCATAAACCAACTCAAAACCCCAAAATGCGTCACATGAGGAGCCCTGCAGACAACAATAAGCCACACTTTTCATGCAACATCTCATCAAAGAATGGTGTCAAGAGACCCCAGTCAAGTAAAGTCGAACAATTCAACTTACCAAACCCACACAGTAACCAATCAACGAAATCCAATTTGTCATAAATATAACAAAACCTCATCTCAACTTGTCCCACACTATGACTAAATTTACACCCAGCAAGTAAAAAGCTCAACTCTCCCCAATCATATGTGTTGACAATTGACACTAATCCCTTTTGTGTATTTCAAGTAACCATCCATACTTTTAACCTAAGAGTTCCACTTTCATTCCATCACTTAACTAGATATTGGACCGTAATTTCTATCATATAAGAAGAAACAAAAAGTAAACGAGATAATATTTCCCCAAACTTTAATAGGCTAAAGTAACATTAAAAAAAATACCCATTTCGCATTAGAAAAAATAAGAAGCAAATATAGAGAAAGGAAAGAAAGCATACCGAGAACATAGAAGGGGAAGCATGGCTTAATGGACTGAACAAACTAGGCAATAAAACTGGAAAAAGAAGCACAAAAAGCCCCGCAAGAGCTCCTCCTCTTTGAGTCTGATAACCATAAGAACTCTTGTAGTGAAACTTCATTGTCACAACCTCAACCTCAGATCTCAGACCGTGTCAAAACACAAAATATACCCAAGAAAATTGAGGTTTTAAGGGTAGAGAAAAGTAACAGCCAAAATAATCACATGTATCAAACAGACTCTCACTCTCTCTCTCTCTCTCTCTCTCTCCACCATCATTTCCAACTCTCTTTGTGTCACTGTTACAAGGCATCCAGTACACTTGTGAAACTGCAGTTGGCCCCTTAATTGCACTTAATTATTTCACTTCAAAAAGGGGCCCAGATGGAAAAAACAAGAGCTTAAAGATTGTGTAAGTTAACCTTGGAATTATAATCGCATAAAAAAACCGGTAATGAAGTTGTCTTGTGTTGTTGTTTTTGCCCACATGCTTTTAAAAAGTCTTTCAGGTTAATTTTTTTGGTAAAGTTGAGAGCTTAACTTGAATTGTGCCGTTGGGTATTTGCGTGTTCCTGTTTTCATTAAAGTTTTTAACTTTTCTCTGAGCACCGACAGTCACAGTAACTTGAAATTATAGAGAGAGAGTATGGACCATATCTCTATGAACAAGAATCAAAGTCGGTGGATGGATTGTGATGTGGATAGCCATGGATGCCCGAAATCTCGGATTCGATCCGCCCCATATTATTACATTAATGCTTTGGATTCGGATATTATTTTGATATATCTTCACAAGGTTATAGATAGAAACTGTATTTGGACATGAAATAAGTAATTACCCTTTGAACTTAGAATGATTAGAGATGTGAATTTTCCAAGCGAGGACGGCCTCATTTGTTCCTGTGTTGTTTGCAATTTTTAATATGTGATTATAATGAATTTGGTTGCGTTTTTAATTAAATTATATACCTAAAATGTGTTTGTATGGTAAACTTTATATGAAAAATGTATCAACATGTGATTATCGATGGATATTTAAGACTGCGTTTGTTTAAGTTTTTAAACCCTATCATATCCAATCCAATAATATATATATATAATTTTTTAATATTGATTATTCAATTCAAAATCCATTTTTATTTAATTCAATTCAAAACATTTAACAATTATTTTTCTCATCAACAAAAACACCCCCACACCCTCAACTATTGCTAACCGACAGACCATATGTTAAAGTGTTTTTGTTAATTTATAAATTTTTATTGTGGATATGTTTAGTTAAATTAACAAATATAAGAGATTAAAAAAATAATCTAAATATTTTCAAAACAGTATCAAAAGAATCCTACCCTACTTGGTTAAATAATATAATACTATTATAAAAACTTAAACAAAATCAGTCTAAATATTCCTTAATCTTTAATGTAATTATTAACTTCATTTTTTATGTTGATTGTTAATTCCTATTTTCTTTTATATTTGGGAATCGGATCCATGTGGGGATTACATTCACCTTTAAGGTTCTATTCAATTTGAGGGTGGGGTTGGGGATGGCAATCTTTATCATCCCTAAACATGATATGATACTTTATATTAACCAAATTTTGTTGCATTAATTTTTTCTAAATGATTATACATTTCAGATATATTTGAATATTTGATATATTAAAGGCGTTTATTTCGTATATATGGGACACAAGTAAACATCATTCATTATTGATTAATCATCGTAATGCAAAACTTTTAACAAAACACGTGACCTGTCTAATATTAGATGTTGACTTGTTATATGCTGCAATGTTAATGTTATGAAATTAATGTTCATTCTTTTAAATGTGATACCCATTTTCACTTTGAGTTATGAAATTGTAGCCTTGTTTATTATACCATCCTAAATTATTATTCTGTTATCCTGTTTGCATTACAAAATATGATATGTATTTGTTTATTTATTGGGTTAATCCAATCTGAAAATTAATCCAACTCAAATAAAATTTTTTATCTAAAATGAAAAAAAAGTCAGACTTATTTTCAGATTATCTAACTCTATTCAAACGAAAACATTTTTCTTTCTCTCATTCTCATGTTTCTCTCATTCCAATTTGAAAATTAATCAACTCAAGACCACCACTGCTGGCCAACATGGCTTAAACGACACATGACCAACCAGATTTAGTCAGTCGTGTGCCGATTAATTGGAAACGGCTATATCGACTCACAATCGGCTAGATCCAACCGATCATGCATCATTCTGACAACCTTCAACTACCATTCGGTGGTGGCAGCCGACGACCAACTGTCCTTTTGGGTGGCAGGGTGCTTTAGTTAATTTTTAAACTTTTATTGTAGGGTGTTTAGCTAAATAAACAAATGTAGTGGGTTAAAAAATAATCTAAATATTTTCGTAAAATGTATCAAACACTATTTTATCTTAAAAACCTTTTTAAAAAAATTTATCAAACAACTATCCAACATTTTATCTAACTTTGATATAATTTTCAGATATTTTACTAAACACATTTTTATATTTAAATATAATTCGATTCGATTTTGTTCAACTCAATTCAACTTAAAACACTGATTAGGAATAACGTTTTTCAAAAAGTGTAACAAACAAGCCTGTAAATTCTGAAAAGAACATCGAGGGATTAAGATTCTACGATTAATGCCAACAATATCATAATTCAAGACATACACTTTATTCAACTAAATAGTCATAAAGATTACTTTAATAAACAAAAGAGAAGTGCTTTTGCATTCTTTTTTTGAGCTGGATTCTACATAGTTTAAGGTTAAAGGTTAATAGGTTGAGGGTGCTTTATATTTTATAATGCCAAAAGTTTATGCTTCCTGATGATTTACATAAATAAATATTAATATATATTTTTTAAACTCGAATGATTTATTATTATTATAAACAAAAACTAGTTTATGTGATTGGCATTTTAATAGGTGATGGACCTTGAAAGATAGATCCAGCCCATACATCTTTAAGTATAAATGGGCCTAAACCTCGCTGCACTTTAACTACTATTTTATAGGCCTTTGTCTAGTCTTATCCATTTCCTTATTCTTTCTTATTTTGAATAATGAATGAATGGATTCTAGTAATTAATGCTCCATTAATATTTTTTATGATTAATTAAATCATTAAGTTTACATTTAATTTATTCCTCTTTATAAACACTCACTTATCTTTACATAAACCCTAAATTGGTTATATTATTAATTCAAACTATATTTTGATAGTTTTGAAACTAAAAGAGAGTTTTATAATGGAGAATTAAGTTTTGAAAGGTGATACATTAGGTTTTTAACAGCATTACAAAATTATTAAGTTTTTAAAAGCTTCTTAAACTTTTTTAATTTAATTTTTTTATTTTACAATTACTTAATTTAATGTAGGTTGACTCGATTTTTATAATGCGCTTAAATTCTTTCAAATTCTCAATTTAACTAAAATAATGTTTTGAGATTAATTATAATTGGCCGAGAATAACAAAAAGTGGAGATGTAGCTAGGTTTTGAAAATTAGAATAGATGAAGAACATTCTTGAAATTTAGGGAGTGTTATAAGAATATAATTTGTTTTTAAAACTTTTAAATGGATATATATATATATATATGGGGCTTCTTTAGTTAATGGGGAGCAAATAAAATCACTCTTTAAGAAATTGAAGACTATTTTGGAGGAGATGGTGGCCAATTAATGCACTTTCAGTTACATTTTAGAATTGTGTATCTCTCAAAAATATTAATATTAAGTTATCTCAACTAGTAATTTACACTCAAAAATTAGGTTACCATATTCTAGATTACTATAACTATTATTTTTTTTTTTTTTGTGACCAAGGATGTCTGAATCAGTTTGTGCGTACCTCAACTAATCTCCTAGAACTTTGAAGTTGACAGTTGGATAAATCCTCTTAAATGATCCACTTGTACAATTACATTTACCTTTTATTAATCAATAGTAAACTCACTATTTTAATTTAATTATTGTTTATATTGGAAGTTCGACTAGGGATGGCAACCTGGAAAAACCTGCTCTCATCAAATGAGGATTACTCAAAAAATTTTGGGTTTGGGGTGGGGGTGGGAAAGGTTTTTGTCCCAGATATCGAGGACGGGTACCGGGGTGAGTAGAGTTGTCTACACGCGAAAACTCATACCCGTACCTATCCTTAGTTAATAATTTATTAATAGATTAATAATTTTCATTTAGTTAATTGAATAGATGTTATATACATATGACTTCTATAAGTTTTTCATCATTTATATACCAAAATTGGAAGAAACGGTTATAAATATATTGAATAATTGTTTAACATAAATGTTGGGTATGGTTTTTTAATTTAAATAATATTAGTTTCTAATAACAAAGTTTAAAATTGTTTTTTTTTCCTTTCATGTTACAATGACCCATAATTAGTCCAAAAACTTTCCAATAATAATAAAATACACCTCGGGGTTCTAATTTTTGGAGAGTTTGCATCCCTCCCTTGGAACACAAGTTGGAGCTGGCGAAAGCTCCTCAATATGAGCGAGAGTCTCAAAAAGCATGTTGTGGTCAGAGTAGGAGATGGGAAGTCAACATCCCTTTGGCATGATACGTGGCACCCCCTTCGCCCCTTGCATGATATTATTGCTTCTAGAATTGTTTATGAATCTAGATTGAGCCATCAAGCCAAGGTGAGTGACGTTGTTGTGGAGGGGCAGTGGACGTGGCCGACAACTATCCAGAAGGCTTTCCCCCAGGTTGTTAACCAAGCCGCAATTATTCCTTCAAACCTGCCTCAAGATGTGGTTGTATGGAGATCTTCAGATGATAGGAATGTGAGGTTCTATTCTCGGCAGGCTTGGCTTGACATTGCGCCTGCTAGTAATTCGGTTCCATGGAGTTCAATTGTGTGCATTGGCACATCCATTCCAAGGCATTCATTTATCCTTTGGCTAGCAATTCGGCAAAAGCTTCTTACCCAAGATAAAATGCAATTCTAAATGAACCCAACTGAGCTTTGGTGTGTCTTTTGTGATGAACAACCACCTGACTCCCATGACCACTTGTTCTTCGCTTGCTCTTTTACTAATCTCCTCTAGAAAAAGGTTCAAGCCAAGGGAAGATTTCATTGCCAATATAATGGTTGGCAGAACATTGTTGAGTACTGTGTTGGGAAATTTAAAGGGAAAGGTCTGTGGGCTATATTCCTCGTCTTTTGTTTGGGGCTGTGGTTTATTGTATATGGCAAGAGAGAAATCTGCGTTTATTCAACAGTAAGCGTAGGACCCAAGATTGTGTGGAACAGTATTTGATAGAGGAAGTTGGGCTTAGACTCCACAACTGTAAAGTTTAAAAATATTGTTGCGGTGATTAAGGTGGTGGACATGTGGGATCTTCCCCATAGTTGTATTGGGAGTGGGCACAGAAATTTAGATTAATGATTATGGCAAACAAGGAAGTCCATTCTTTGTTTGGCTTTACAGCAAGAGAAAATGGCATTTTTCATGATCTGGAGTAGGTGGGCTCTAGTTTGAGTGATTTTGTGGATGCATGGGGTTTCCTTCGATAAGGGTGGTGGTACTGATAGACTCTCCTTATGCCTCCTTGGTTGGTGTTTCACAGCCCCTATAGGGTCTATAATTGAGCTGGTGTTGGGCTGGTCTATTCTAGTTGAATCTATCATTGTTTTTTTGGAGCCCCACTTTCAAACTATATAGGCTATGGACCTTGGAGGGAGACTAAAGACGTAAGGAATTTTTTTAAGGCTTCTACTGTGAAGGGTGGGCAGTAGGTCCCAAAATTCTTTCTAACATTTTTTTGCGTGCAGGTCTTATTTTGGGTAGGTGGCCATGCAATGCATCTAACAACATCTTGGCCATACGAACTTATGCTTTGTGTGGCTTTTTCCCTGAGCAGTGGTTTCCTTGGATAGATTGTGTTTATGTGGAGGAGTTCTTCAATTCTTATTCTCCAGGTTGTAAAAGAGTGGAAAGGAGATTTATCTTTACTTATGAGAGCTGGTTTGTTTCCAAGAGTGCAAGGCCTCTTACATGGAGTGTTTACTGCTATGGGATGCTTTCTGTTCGAACCTGGGTTTATTAGGAGTCTTTCTTTTCTTATGATGGGGCCTCGTTGATGACCTTATTCTCTCATTTTAAATGGCCCCATCTGGTTGTGTTTAAGTGGGATGGTGACGCTATTGGGTATGGGTTGGGATTATAGTGTAGATGCTGCCCCATTGTGAATCTTTCTTTGTTGGGCCACAGGAGACCGGGCCTCGCCTCTGGATTTATAAGGACTCCTCAGATGGGCTTGTTTTTAGCGTCTTGGATCAACCCGTTGTATCTTAAGATTTTGGGCCCGTTTGGGCCTGTCTCCTTGGACTCAAATTTTAGTCCACTGTAATGTTTGGGCTAAGGGTGAAAACCGAGCCGATCGGCTCGAGCTCGGCTCAGCTCGGCTTTGGCTCGAATTCAACTTGGCATTAGTCGAGTTGAGTAGCTAAATTAATCCCACAAGTCAAGTTCGATCACTGTACGAAAAGCTCGAAAAACTCGATTAAGCTTGAAAAGCTTGACTAAAACTCGATTAAACTCAAAAAGCTCGACTAAAACTCAATTAATTGAGCTCAAACTAGAGATTTAGTTATTGAGTTTGAATTTGAACTCGATTCATTAGGCTTGACTAGGCTCGAACTCGGTACTATAGCAACCGAGTCGAGTTCGAGTACCGAATTACTCGACTCGACTATACTCCACTCAATTTCACCCCTAGTTTGGGGCTTTACTACTAGGGGTTATCTTCTCTCAGTGGGTTGGGCTATGGTGGAAGAGGATCACAGATTGGCTCGGTGTTGGAAAACTTTGTTTGGGTGGCTACCTTTTAATGGCCCATCAGTGCGCCTAGGCTAGTTGTTGGCAGACTAGAGTTTAGACTTGGTTTAGGCTGTGTTTTTTTTGTACAATCTGTTGTTTGGTGAAGATTTTTTTTTTTTTGGGGGGGGGGGGGGGGGGGGGGGGGAATTTTTTGTTTTTAGTTTGTAAAGGATGTGTTTAACCTTTTGCTTCCCTTCGGTTTCTTCTGTTGCTTCCTTGGGCTTTGCCAAGGTTGTTTGCCTAAGGGAGTCCCCATTCCAAGGATGTAATTTTTTATTTTTCATACAAATTCCAAGTTTACATAAAAACAAAGATTATTAACATTATTCTTTTTTTGTTAAAAAAAATTAAAAAGAAGAAAAATATATTGAAATTTCTATGGAAGAGATGGGTATGGGCACGAGAACAAATTTTGCCTCTTTGGTGTAGGTTTACTTGCCCGATCCCTAGTACCCGAATTCGGGGATGAAGATGGGTTTAGGGATTACGTTGGTGTCCAGGGGCGGGGACGGGAGGGAAGCCGCTACTCGTTCCCATACCCAAAAATTGTCAACCTTAATTTTGACGCAAGTTTCATACCCATTAATAATTTTTATCTAGTATATTTGCATATGGATGGATGATCATAAATTAATATCACAATAATTAGTTAACTCTAAATGGGCACTTGATGGGAACCCTGTCAAATTAGAACAAATCCAGCCACAAACAATCAAAAAATGCAAAAGAATGGACAACTCAAATATGGAATTAAACAATACTGTATTGAATAAGAGAATTGTTAACAAGAAATGGGGTTAGCAACCAAGCAAAACTAAGAACAGTAATTCCTAGCAGTTCGAGGAGGGACCTCTTTAATGATCTTTGTAAAAATATGCCTAAACCTTCCCTAAAACGATCTCTCTTTATATAACTTTCTTAACTAGAATATTCCCTCCACTAAACAACTTGAACCCAATCAGTGAATATTTTCCAAACAATTCCACTAGCACAAATATTATTAAACACAACACGCACACACCAACACCTACTGTCCTTTTTGGCCTTTTAGCTAATAGACTTACTAGTGGAAGGTCTATCAATACTTCGCCTCCCCCACCAACACAAATATTCTTAAACGCACACTCACACACCAACACCTACTACCCTTATGCCGTTTTGTGGTAGACTTTACTAGTAGAAGGTCTATTAATAAACAACACCCCCCCTTTTTGAAGAGCCACTTGTCCTCAAGGTGGAAATAGGGTATTAAAGCTTGATGACATCGTAAGACTCCCAAGTAGCCTCAAATGGAGCTAGGTCCTTCCATGAATGAGAACACTCTTTAGAGCCATCTACTAAATTGTGGACTGCCAACATTGATTTCGGTTGGACTTGAAATTCTAGGTCCTCGGTGAGAAAAGGTGGAAGAGGCTGGATGGGAACCGAACTGTGCAAGCTGCGCTTGAGTGAGAGATGTGGAAAACTGGATGAATCCTAGTTGTAGGTGGTAAATCCAGTTGTGAGGCAACTGTCCACTCTCTCCAATATGGTTTAAAGGACACAAAACCTTGGGCTCAAATTTTTATTAATTTTATTGGCACAAAGACTTAAACCTATACGGTTGTAGCTTCAAAAAACCTGATCCCTGGTTAAAATATGACATCCTTTGGTGTAAATTTGCATTTTCTTTCATATGCCCCTGGGCTACAACCAAGTTATGCTTAGCTCATAAATTGAGTAGTGTGCATTGTTGGTTTACCTCTTCCACAAAAGATGGGTAGTTGTGAACTAGACTAGAGTTGGGGGATCCTTTCATATAAGGCTTGAAGGGTGTTTATCTTGGTTGAACTGTGGTATGTTATATGTACCAAAATTTACCCAAGTTAGCCACATGGCCATTGCTTGGGCTGAGTATAACAAAAACACTACAAGTAAGCTTCCAAACACAGTTGACCACCTCGTTTGGCCATCGGTTTGAGTGTGGTAAGCAGAAATGAACTTTAATGTGTATTGGCAACCTTGAAAAGTTCCTGCCAAAATGACTGATAAATACCCCTCCCTATGGATACAATCGACTTTGGAAATCCATGAAGCTTCACAATGTAAAAAAACAACACCGTAGCACATCCTTAGCACTATAAGGGTGACAAGGGATGTGAAATGGTTGTGTTTCATGAGTATGTCCATACCACAGAATGAGTCCTATCCCCTAACTTTAGGTAACCCCCTAATGAAATCCATATTAACATCCTCCAAACATGTGTGGGAATGGGTAAAGGATGGGAGAAGACCTATGGTTTTAGGGCAGAATGCTTATTTAATTGACATACCATACATTTTTGCATATACTCTTGAAACCTTCTTAATCCCCCAAAATACTATATGATCACCCTTATAGGTCTAAAAAAATGAATGCCCCCTTTAGGCTACTGTGTAATCTTCCAACAATTTGGGAATAAATGGAAGTTTTAGGTAAGACTAACCTGTCTTGTAGAGAAGGTAGCTTTGCGTAGGCGATAATGAGGTTGCCTGGTGGGATCAAATAAAGTCTTGGATAATGGGTTGTAGGTAGGATCCTGCTGTGCTTCAAAAGCTAAATCATCAAAATCTGAGAATTTTACCATGAAAATGACAGCCATCTCAACTCCTTATTCTCTTATAGATAAGGCATCAACTACCTAGTTAGAGCTGCCAGGTTGATAATGGATTTCGAAAGAGAACCTATGAACTGGAAATCCACTTGTGTTGTTTGAGTCTTCACTTTCTGATTTGTTAGGAACTGTAGACTATGTGATCAGTTTTAAAATGAATTTACGCCCGATAATGTAATGGCTCCATTTGTGGACTACAAAACTATAGTCATGAGTTCCTTTCATACACGATTTCTGCTTTGACTGATAGGAGAAGACTTTACTAAGAAAAGCAATGGGCACGAAATTTGGACCAGTACAACACCCTGCCCTGCCCTGATGCTTGTGTGAACCTCAAATGGTAGGTTAAAGTTTGGTATTGCTAGGACAAGAACCGATGTCATTGTGTTTTAAGGGACACAAAAGTTGTTATGCCTTTTCATTCCACTCAAAGGAAGCCTTTCAAAAGCTGTTGTCAAAGGTTGAGCTATCAATCCATAATCTTTTACAAAT